GCAGCGCCTCTGCGTCCTCCTTCCCAGGAGCTCCTGTGCACGCAAGGACCGGCTCAATGTCTCGGCGCCCACCAACCCCTGGGGCTCGGCCCGGGGCCGCTGCTCCTCGGGCCCGCCGCAGGTCCGAGCACCCGCCGTTCAGCAGCGCTCGCAGAAACGCCTCGGGGGCAGGAAAAACACCAAGCCCTCCAGGAGCCCACTTTTACTGCCTGTCAGTTGTAAAGCCCACAAGCAAACATCAAGCTCCCCCAATGCCATCTCCACTTCCATCAGCTGCTGCTCCTCCACCTCCCACCACTGAGCCAGAGTGACAATCTGTCCTAAAATGCAAAATTAAAACCCAGCCCTTCACTAATCCTCCTAGGCCCAGGCCCAACTGTTTTGCTCAAATCATACCAGCTTTTTAACTCCTGGACCATCAGAGCACACCTAGGCAGGTTTGGAATGTCTCCAGAGCAGGAGACTCCACAACCTGTCAGGGCAGCCTGTCAGTGCTCTGTCACCTTCACAGTAAAAAAGGTTTTCCTCATGTTTATGTGGAAGCTCCTGTGCTCCAGCTTGCACCCATTGCCCCTTGCCCTATCATTAAACATCACTGAGAAGAGCCCAGCTCCATCCTCCTGACACGTGTTTGTAAACATTAATGAGGTTGCACCTCAGTCTCCTCCAAGCTAAAGAGACCCAGCTCCCTCAGCCTTTCCTTGTAAGTGAGATGTTCCACTCCTTTCATCATCTTTGTTGCTCTACGCTGGACTCACCCAAGCAGCTCTGACCCCTCCTGAACTGAGGGGCCCAGAACCACAACCCCTACTATTCCGTGACTCTCTGAAGTCACAGCCTGTAGCCATTAACCTCCTTTAGATGTGGTTGCCTCACAACCACTGCACACAGATTTACCCAGCAATACCAACAAAAGGTTTTTCTCAAGTTAGATAAAAGATTTTGACATTTTCATCCACAAACTCATTAAGGGTTAGATTGTTCTGAGCTGCTTTGACCAAGGGACAGCTTGGCCATGCCCAGACCTGCTGCCCACTGCCACTGGGCGGCAGTGCCCAGACAAAAAGCTGTTCAGTGAACTCCCTTGATAAGGAAGCAAACAGAACCTACCCACAAACACAGGCCACAGCCACACAGGCTTTGCTTTTCAGGTTAAAAGCACTAGAAGAAAATGTGACCATGCCTAGAGATGAGCCATGAGCTCCAGACCTCTTGACTGTTGAGCTGGTGCAAGGTGGGTGAACTTCAGGTGTTGTGAAGCCTTGAATCACCTGACTGCAGCTGGCACCCACCAACTGAAACACATTTGCATTACACACAAATTCAACACAGTGAGAACAGGGGGTTATGGACAAGGTTACAGGTTTGTCTTGGCCAGAGAGGTGCTCAGCTCCCTACAGGTTCTCCTCTAGGGTGAAAGCTAGAGGTCTGCTGAGAAACCAGAGCAGCAAAAGGTGGAAGGAACCTTTTATACTGGAAAGAAAGTGTAGCTATAACACCTGCAAAACTGATTTATTTTTTTCCTGATATATCAGAAGATAAGCAAGAAAACAAGTCTGTCAATAGCAGCTGAAGCACAGAATCTCTTCAGTAAAGTCATAACATGCTTCACTATCTAATGATCTAAGCACACTCAACACAGAACCAGTGTTTATAACATACAAAAATGTGTATAAGGCAAGTAAGAAATCTGCTCTTACCCACAGAAAGATTTTTAGGACCAGAACTCAGTTCAAGGCCTGGCACAGGGACTGTTTCCAGCTCGAGTGGTAGAAGGACTTTTATAACCCTAAGTTGCAGCTGTGCAGTTAAAAGGTCACTCATTAGGTCATTACTTCAAATTTTCAACAAGCTGACCTGTAAATCCACAAATAGATCTTCTTTTGCTTTCCCTGAAATATTTTTTAACTTTTAGCATTAGGAAAAGACTCACAAGTGGTTTAGAAACTTCTGCCCAAGAGCTGAGACTGGTGCAGTGCAGAAGTAGACCTTGCCCTGAAGTACAGCAGCACCTCAGGGGCTCACAGTTTCAGGAGGAACCAGATTCAAACTCCACCACTTTCACCTCTTCTTCCAATAGTTGACAAAATACCAGCACTCATTTCCATGCAATGAAGCAGAGTAGAAAGGACAGTGGCAGTGAGACTGCCCAGTGCTGGGCAGCTTGCTTGGCCAGGTGCAGGAACACCAAGCACTTGCAGCCTCCTTCAGCTGGCTGCGCTGGAGGGATTTCTTAAGCCCCATGTCAAATGCCTCCCCAGCTGAACAGCTGATACTTGCTTCACTACCACTAACCACCACCAGAGAGAACAAAGAAGACAAGGTTATTGTCATGTAACTGGGTTCTTCCAAGTGTCCTGCATATGCACATTCATGCAGTGGAAGAGAGAAACCTCTGTCATTTTCTCCAAATCACAGGAATCCAAAAGATCTCATGTCCTTTGAGAAAGAGAGGAGGTGAATATAACCTGGGCAACATGTCCTTAACATGAGCAATAATTAACCCTTTTTCCTCCCACTAGCAGTGCACACTATTTACACTGCAAGTAGCTTTCTCCTGTGCTGCTCCTCCCACCCCTCTGCACATCTCTGCTTTCACACCACAGATAAGCAGCTTGCAACCTTTCTTTATTACCCCCAAAGTGATGGGGATCTGGAGGCTCTAAGATAGATAGTTTTTGGCAAAAAACTGGTGCTGAAGGGGCCATTCTGCAGGCTCCAAGGGAGGCTCACAGAGGCTTACATTCCTTACAGAGACATGCCTACATCACCAGGAGCCCAGCCTGCAGGATGGAGCAGGGGGGTTCAGAGGGGTGAGCTGTTGTCTGGTCCCATGTGACCAGGGCATCTGCACTGAGAGCACTGGACAGCCACCAAGATGCTGAAGTCTCTGCATATTTTTGTCAACAACTAGTTCAGCTTTCTGCAAGAGACAGAAAGGATGGTTCCAATAGCAGCTAACACCCATCACTGGCAACACACGGGTGCTGGCAGAGTCTGTCACTCTCTGCAGGGAGGTGACACTGCCAGCACCATGGGCTGGGACTTTTGAATGTAGGTATAGCCCTCCCAACCCTGACATATCTTTAACTTCCATTTCTTTTTGGCACCACAAATAAAATGACTGTAACCAGTCATTAGGCAGAGGGCACCACTTCCAACCCTTCTAGATAAGGAGGGTGGGCTTTTCATCCCTGCTGCATGATGCATCACCCCACAGATGGAGGAGGGAAAGCAAGGGGCTATAGCCATGGATGGCAGAGATCTGAAACTGCAGCCCTGCCCCTGGTACTGCATCCACTGCACAGACTGCCCTGATCTGCCTCCAGCTTGAGATAAAACACCAGAATATTGGCAGAAGGTGACTGTCCTGGACAGACACTTCCAGGACATCAGAAGCAAGTCGGGGGGAGCCAGGGAGCTCTGCCTGGCAGCCCAGGGCTCTGGCAGTGCCCAGGCCTTCACTGGCTGCTATGAGCTGAGATGCTCCCAGCAGCAGAGGTGTTATTAGGAACTCTAGTTTATATCTGTCCAGGTCTGAGTATTTTCAATGAAGATTAAGGAAGGAACTGGTTATTTAGTTCTTTTTACAGGTAAAGAGAGGGAGAGACTTGTAGCCTTTATCTCATCCTAAAAGTTAAAATGTATCCTCTTCCTGCTTAGTACATTCCTACCTCAGGGTAAAATGAACTGCACTGACACATATTTCTTTTTCTCTCCATAGGGGATTTACATGAGCTGATGCAGAGAGCTGATGAGCTGTAGCCAACAGGACTTCTTGTTCTGAGTTCTCTACTTCTGTTGAACAAAGGTTTGAGGCCCCTCTGCAAAAATAGTTCATTTCCTCAAAGCCTAAGGAGGTCATTGAGTGAACTGAAAGGCTGCTGAGACACTGAGGTGGCCTCTCAGAAAGAAACCCCTTAACTTGTCTGAAGAGAAATTAGTATTTTATATTCTGTAAATCAGGACTCAGATGGTGAGTGCCATCTTCTCATCTTTACGAGAAGACAGGAAATCTTATAGATCTGTAATACTCTATTTAGTATTTGTTCAGAAAGCTGCCCAGAGGTGAGCAGGTAACAGAAAAATTAATCAAGAAGCCTTTGAGAAAAGGGACAAAAAGACAGAAGCCAGGGGCTACCAACTCCATTTGCCATCAAGAGGGGGTGAAGGATGGCTAACCTGCAAAACCCCACTTATACAAACAGTCATAGTTCCCTCCAAAGGCTGAGAAACACTGGAAATCCAGATGTCTACAGTCCCAGTATCCCCAACAGTAAGAAGGGAGAATGCTGCTGTGGGAACTAAGAGCTGAGCCATGAGCTGCTGTCAGAGCAGCACAACAGCTTGCACCCACTTACCCCTCAGCTTAGTTTTAAGTAATGTATTAAGGTGGTATCTGCT